GTCTGTTCAGTGCCTCTGAACTGAAGGTTTACTAGGCTGACCCCTCCAGAAATACATTTAACTCATGGTTTTCATTTTGTGACAATGTATGCACTTGGGGTTATATATTGTTTAAGAGAAGTCAAGTTAGAATTTCTAGCAATTGGTTTAGTTGCCTTATTAAAAAGTGAATAATAACAGATTTTATCTCACCAACCAATGAAAATTTTAAATCCTAAGTGGTCTGGGTTTCTGGGATGACCCATTGGTTGGTCCTCTCAAACAGAGGTCAGTTCAGGCAGGTTTCAGACTCAAAGGTTTATTCCTGAGTTACATGGGGTTTCTGTGGGCATCAAAACCAAAAGGAATTTTTTCTTTAGCTGCAAAAAAATTTAATAAAATTCAACATCTATATTCACATGAAGCCCTCCATCAAACTAGGAATAGAAAGGAACATTCTTCACCCTATAAAAGGTATTATTTAATAAATATTCATCATATGTAATAGGGCAACAAACAGTAAGAGGATTTTCTTTAAAAACAGGATGCCTGCTATCATCACTTTACAATTCAACATTGTCTTGGAACTTTTAACTAGTTTAATAGACAAGAAAATTAAAGTATGAACACTGGAAAGAGAGAAACAAAACGGTCATTATTCAGAGAAGATACCATAAAATCCCCAAATAATCTTAGGATAGATTGTCTGAATTTGGAGGAGAGTTTAGCAAGTGCTGTTTGCTCTTCCAAGTGCAGGACATTCCAGGTTGGGCTTTGAAGCAACATGACATCCTGTTCTGTGTGTGTCTTAGAAGGGTCTGGGATTTGTATAGTTTAGAATAACCTACAGAGAACTATTAATGCCACAAGGGAAGGAACTAGGGAGGACAATTCCTATGGAGAGGAAGAGAGAAGTTTGCTTACTGGTAGAAAAATTATTCAGCATTCAAAGAAAGGAATCTGGGAATGTGCAGAAAAAGGTAAGATGCCTAAAGGTTGAAGGGGACCTTCAAAAACCTATTAGTAGGTAGAACAAACTTACCCTGGCCTACAAACCTCACAAGGTAAGGCTTCCCTTTTTGGCATCACCTACCACTCTCCCTGGGTTCTCCTTCCACTCCAGCCATGCAGATGTTACTGGTCGCAATGTTCCCCAGACATTCTCACCTCTTCTTCCAGGGATGGCTGTCCTGCACTTCCCAAGGCAGTGAAAGCTGATCAGAGGACCCTCACATTCCTGTGACGATTGCAAATGTTTAATCCTAAATGAGGGAGTTTTTTTACCCTGAAAAATGTTTTCTATCTTATCAGAATGTTATTTACTCTTGCACTTTATAGATGATAGCTTCCCTATTCCTTTCTTCTTATAATTGCAATTACCCATCATTTTGATATTGGTCTTTGACAGCCATTTTTATTTTCTTCGTCTTGTCAAAGATTTGAGTAGTAAATCAGGTGCTCTAGCACACACTTTTCTTAATTGGAAATTGAGACTATTAGAATCATAGAACTTCAGTTGCTGCAAGTTATTAGAACAATTTCTAAATCCATGGTTATGATCTTGCAGGTGAGGGGAAAAAAATCTCTTTTCCTCTACCCTTCTAAATTCTTAGGGGGGGGGGCATAACAAAAGACAGATTAATAAGCAAAAGAACAAACAGAAGTTTATTAATGTGTATATCTGATATATACATGGAAGAAACCCAAGGAAAGCAGTGACTCAAAGAGGTAGTTTAGAATTTGGGCTTAAATACCATCTTCAGCTAAAACAGAGGAAGAAAGGTATGGGAGAGGTAAGTTTGGGGAAGGTGACCAGGAAAAGTATGGTAAACAACAGCAAGGTTTATTATGCAAATTTAAGATCCAGAGTTATCCTTCTTTTCCTGGTACAGAGAGGGAGACATACTTACAAATCGAAATTTCTTTTATAAATGTAACTTTCTCCTACAAAAAAGTAACTTAGGCTGCTTCTCAAAATAATCATTATGCCAAACAGGCATTTTCAGAGTTGCATAGTCTGGTCTCCTACAGTTTGTCTCCACAAGGTAGTACACGTATCACTGACATGCATGTTGACGGAGGTCTTGCACTGTTGACTCAGATGGAATGTCTATGAACCTCATTTCTTATGCATATCAGATTTCTGCCAATTTGCATTTCTGCCAATACGGTGACCTTAAAATTTACCAGAATTAAAGAGTAAGAAAGCCTGTGTGTAAATACTAAAGCTAAATTATGATACCCTTTTGAACTATAAACATATTTTAGAAAACTATTAATGACAAAGTTGCACAAAAGAACTGTGATATATTTATGTGTTTCATTTGCTGGATTTATATAATAGTGCTCATTTCAACTACATGGCAAAACTTCAAGAATATATTAAATAACTTCAAACTACATAGGTTTAAATGAGATAGCCAGGTTTAGTATTTTTGGAACAGTGTTTGATTTTATGACAAAATAATAAAATGTTATTGATTGTTAGTATTTTAAGGTACAGACACCAGTTCCATGAGTGGGCAGAAGAAGAGAACTGGCTTTACTTGGGCATGAGATGCTTAAGAGCTTAAGAGCAGCTGGAGAAAACCTGTCCGATGAATGACTAGAATGCATTTTACCATGTGCCTGTCTCTTCATGGCCAATGAATTAGGACCAGTGCCACAGAATCCCAAACCTTGTGTGAGGACAACTGGGCAATAAAATTGCAGTAACTTCTGAAAGGAGCTAAACGAATCTTTATATGTTACAAGAACACAACTTTTTTTCTAGGGATGTGAAACAAAATTTCAGCAACAAAACTTACTTAAAAAAGTTAAGTCATGCTTAAAGCTATGTATTTTCATTATGTGTGCAGGCATCTCCCACTTATGTCAGTAGTATGTTCTATAAGAAAATGCTATCAGAAGTTATGATACATTTCAACCCAAATCTCCCAATTGCCTATAAATACAACTGAAATACAACAAAAGCATCATGTAAGAATGTAAGACACTTAAAACATCTCTTCTTGATCCAAGTTGCTTTGTGTGCAATAGTAGTATCTTCTCTTCCATTATAATTGTTTATCTCATGTACTCAAGCGGCTTTCTTCTCTACAGTTTTAGATGTTTGCTTTATTTTGGGGGGACTCACACCACACTAGGTAAAAACAAGGTCTAGACATGGAAGACATTGTGAAAATGCATTCCCATCAAGGGCACATGCTGGGAACTGATCACAAATTTCTCCCATACAAACATCAGCAGAAAGATGTTGCAAGAGATAGGTAAGATACTAAGCTTCTATGAAGCTTGGATATTGTATAAGCTTTCTATTACTGCAAATTTAGTGGCTTCATACCATACGTATGTCATCTTTCAGTTCTGTAGGTTAGAAGGTGACACAAGTATCACTGGACTGAAATCAAGGTATCAGCAGGGCTGCATTCTTTTCTGGAAGCTCAGGGAGAATAGTTTCTGCCTTTTCCAGCTTCCAGTGGCTGCCCACATTCCTGGGGTCATGATCCTCACCCCTTCCTCCATCTTTAAAGCCAGCAGTGGCAGGTTGAGTCTCTCTCATTTGCATCTGACTTCTTTCATATTCTCATCTCCCTCTGATTTTTCCCTTCTGCCTTCCTCTACCATTTTTAAGGTCTTCTTCCTTCTTTTAAGGACCCTTGTGATGACACTGGGCCCACACAGGTAATCTAGGAAAATCTTCCTATTTTAAAGCTGGCTGAGTAGTAACTTTATCTGTAATCTTAATTCTCCTCTGCCAGGGAAGGTAACATATTTATGGGTTCCAAGGATTAAGACATAGACATCTTTGGGCTGCCATTATTCTGCCTACTGTATTCAAAAGCAAAAGCTTATCTTGCAGGAAAATGTCACAAGGGGAGGTCTGCTGGGTATGCCTATACATCGTTTGTTTTTAAAAACTCACATGCTTTTATGAAATAGAGTCTGAATTTCAGTTTGTTTTAAGTTATGAAACAATGGCATTACTGTGGCTTGTGTAAGCAGGGACTGGAACTTTGAAAACTGTTATTCATTCTTCCTGTGATATATATTTGCATTATTTTGCAAGGGCTGCCATAACAAAGTACCATAGACTGGGTGACTTAACAGAAGTTTATTTTCTCTCAATGCTGGAGGCTAAAAGTTCAAGATTAAGGATTCAGAAAGGTTGATGTCTTCTGAGGCCTCTCTCCTTGACTTGCAGATGGCCGTCCCCTCCCTGTGTCTTCACGGGGCCTTCCCTCTGTGTCCGAATCTGTTCTTAGGAGGACACCAGGCATGTTGGAGTAGGGCCCATCCTACTGACTTCATTTAACCTTAATTACCTCTTTAAAGAGCTTATCTCCAAATACATTCTGAAAAACTGAGGGTTAAGACTTCAACATGTGAATGTTCGAGGGAAAGAGTTCAGCCCATAACAACATCTAACACATTTTATGATTAACTCATAAGAGATTCTATATTAACAGAGGACCTCTTGTAAAAATAAAAGAGGGAAGAGTAGGATACAACTTGTACTGACAATTACTCTCAGGTAGAATTTTTTTTTCTACAAAAATGGTGATTTATTTTGCTTTAACATACAATGGTAAATATATTGGGGATCATAAAAAATTTTTAAAATTTTGCCAGGCTTACTTTACATATTACAACATTAATGTAAGCTCTTAAATTCTTCCATTTCAATGAAGAAAAGGGATCCAACTGATACCTGCTAGCAGCTTGGCTAAGGATGGACATTAAAATCAGACAATATACTGAAAATATAAAGTACTTTTCTCCAAATGTGTATAAAAGTTTTGAAAATAGCATCACTGCCTGCTCCACAGGACAATTTGAATTTTAAAAATGCTCCAGACCAGAAATAGCATAACCCTGTGTAACAATACTTTATAATACAGTTTAATATTTTATCAAAGACTTTTGCACTTGAGATTTAAAAAAAAATGGAAGAAAAAGAAACACAGTAGCCAAGGAACTGCACAACCAACCAGAAAATGAAAATTACATAAAATATTTCTACCACTATTTAAATGCCAAATTTAATCAAGCAATAGTAAAAAACAAAACAAAACAACATAATAATACAACCTTCTGTTTAAAATAACAGCACTGTTCCACCTCTTTTCCACTGAATTTTACATATGAACAGACTATATATAACGGTTTTTTTTTTCAGAGAAATGTCCATTTGGTCTGTCACACCAGTCAGGCTCATCCTAAATCCTTTCACCGTCTTCAGAGGACACGCAACTCCATGCTGTTTCCGTGTTTTGCAACATTCTGGGTTAGGCACAATGTCTCAAGTATAATACATTTTCTCCCTTTTCCTTTACACAGTGCAGAGTATATGGGCTTAGGTTACGTAGATTCTCTTTCACTCCAGGTCACTGTCTTTTTCTAAATTCAAGGCGGTATTCAACGGAGTGCAGTAGTTGGGCTTGTCAGATGGTACGTAGCCTGGCAGACACAAACACTTGTAGGAACCTTCCGTGTTAATGCACTTGGCGTTCTTGCAGAGAGACATCCGGTTGTTCAACTCATCGCATTCATTCACGTCTGCGGTAAAGCCAAACACGCAGGTCAACAACCCTTACTACTGCTCTGTGAGGAAGCGCAGCCTACATTTACCCCAGGCTTGATCAAGGTAGCCTGAACGCTGCGCCCCCAGTGAGCTTCCCCGTCATTGTCTGTTTCAATCACAGACAAGATAATGGTGACTTTTAATTTTTGTATTTATTTCTTTCATTTCAAAATATTAAGGGGGTACAAGGTGACTTTTTAGATCTTAAAAAAGGTGGATTATCAGGAAGGTTCTAGAATTCCTTCCCCTGTTATTTAGCACAACATGAACACTTTGTCGGCTTGACATTTTATAGTCAAACCTATGAGCAACGATATTATCACTAAATCCTTCCCACAGATGTAGAAGAACTGCTAGATTTGTCAAGGGGAACCAGACAAGTAAGAAGAGAGCTTTCTGAGCAGCCTGTCAAAAGATTTCAGTCATATTGTTAGGTCTCCTTCTAAATGAGATCCATTTAGGCTCTCACTCACTTGAAACATCTGTAAGAACCAAGGTTACCTATTTTCCACACCTGTCACAGATTAAAATTAACCAAATCGAAGTGGGCTAAGGGGCTGCTACTGGAGGGAGGAGAAAAATAGAATTAAAAACTTAAAATAAATAAATATTAATAAATAAAGTAACAGGCCTTTTAGCAAAGAGTCAAATAAGCCCCGAAAGGCACACAAAGAAGGTTAAACATATGTTTCCTGTTATTTTCGATATAAGAGGGAGGGCAACATGAAAGATAGTTCTAGGAGGAGTTTTATCCAAAATGATTACTAGGAAGTTGTATTTTTTCCCCCCCAGAAGTCTACACTCCCTTATGCTTATGTCAATTATTCAGCACAATCATTACTGGCTGCAAAGTCAAAAGCTAAATTTCAGAGTCAAAATAGTTACCTGGCCCATTCTGGTCTTTCCTCCACATTTACCACTGTATGGATTCTTAAATGAGATATCAACTCTCCCTTTCTTAAAAAAAAAACTATGGTAAGACATGCAGAACACAAAATTTACCATTTTAACCATTTTTAAGTGTATAGTCCCATGGCATTAAGTACATTCAAATTGTACTTAAATGTACATCTCCAGAACTCTTCTCATCTTCCCAAACTGAAACTCAGCAAATTTATCTTAAATGTGCTTGAATGACTGAGATCTGGCCACACAGGATCTCCGGAAAAGAATAATTCCCACAAGATACATGTCATTCTTACCGACACAGGTCATCTTGGCCATATCCAAGTGATACCCATCAAAGCAATCACAGGTGTAACCTTCCTGGACCCTCACACAGCGGCCGTTTTCACAACCATTGAGGATGCCACACTCCTCAGCCTGTAACTCCTCAAAGCTATTTAGAAAACCTGGAAAGAAAACGGCAGGAGCCAAGTTAGAAATGTTCAACCTCCTATGCCATTTTTAAAAATGATTTCTTAAGGGTATGGTTCATTTGACATACATAGATAAAAGCGTATATTTCAAGCACCTTCAACATTAGCATTATAATTTAAGTTAATGCTGAAAATATCCACATACAATATTAAGCATAAAAATATTAAAAATTTTGTATGTGTTGTGCAGATGAGCCCCACATCTTGAATTCTGATGTTCTGGCTTAAACTTACATAAGATGAGAAGGCAAGCATAGTTTTTGTTTTGCTCTTAATTATTAAGAGAGTTCATCCAAAATTCCAAATTTCCTGAGTTCGCAATATAGCAAATGTCAGAAAAATTTTCAGGATGGAACCAATAGAATTCACTATCCAAGTTCAGTAGGCATTTGCTAAGAAGATCCGTAAGGGTGAGGCAGTTCTTTTTACTTGGAGTTTGCAAGACCAGAGAAAAACCCGCTGGCCTGGCCAAGTGAAGTCTGTTTGTTTGCTCTGGCTATGGAATGGGCCATACAAAAGGGCTCTCGGGGGATCAAAGGATAAAGACAGTGAAGGGGCCTCAAAATATCCTGATAAATGATAAAAGTACATCATACTTGTGCTTATAAAACCAGAAGTCTTTTTTAAAGGAAACAAAGAAACTCTTGTTTGACTCTTTTTATAGTTTGAATATCTTCAAACTGATCCAGCACTAGTGTCTAGAGTTTTTGTAATATAAAAACAATTTAGCCAGGTGTCAAGAGTGTTTAGCTCTCATTCTAGAGAGGAAACTTGTAAATAGAAATCCACAGTGATACAAACACATGGTCATGTGACCTCTTCTCTCCCCTGGCTTCCCAAACACACCACAAATTAGCTTCAAAAATATAAAATAGTGTCAGAACTACATGGATCTGGCCTTTGAAGTAATTCTCCAGTGGAACTGCAGGGGGCAGCAAAACATCACTGCTTAGGCAGGGCCATAAGGCCTAACTCCGTGATTTTAAAAATTGAGTAACATATCCATAACAGGCTCATTTAAAAATTTTAAAGGAAAAAAAAAAGTACAACCCATGAAGACTATGACGGCAGATACCCAAAGCCAGTTTGATAAGTACTGACTTAAAGTCTTAATCTATGAAAACATTCTCAAATTCCACATATCACAGCAAAATCGTTTTGACTTTATAGCTAATAAAATTTTTTTTACTATTACAGAAATTAAAACAAAATTAGAACTTGAAACTCCCACACAAAATTAAAACTTGGAACTCTCCAAAATACTTGTTCAGGACTCTAAAACAGGTCAGCAGAGTACAGATCTGGTCTGCAATCTACTTTTTTTTTTTTTTTTTTGAGACAGAGTCTTGCTTTGTTGCCCAGGCTAGAGTGAGTGCCATGGCGTCAGCCTAGCTCACAGCAACCTCAAACTCAATCCTCCTGCCTCAGCCTCCCAAGTAGCTGGGACTACAGGCATGCACCACCATGTCCGGCTAATTTTTTCCATATATATTATTTGGCCAATTAATTTCTTTCTAGTTATAGTAGAGACGGGGTCTCGCTCTTGCTCAGGCTGGTTTCAAACTCCTGATCTAGAGTGATCTGCCCGCCTCTGCCTCCCAGAGTGCTAGGATTACAGGCGTGAGCCACCGCGCCCGGCCTGCAATCTACTTTTTAAAATAAACACAGTCATATTCATTTGCTGATATACTGTCTGTGGCTGCTTTCATGATACTATGGCAGAGTTGAGTAGCTACAACAGAGACCACATGGCCTGCAAAGCCTAAAATCTTATTACCTTTATAGAAAAAATTTTCCTATCTCTGCTCTAATAAACTCTAGCTTCAGAAACACTGCTCTAATGACACGTAATGGAGTTGGTGACCCATAAAGGTGGTAAGAAACCTCATCCAGCCTCCCTACGATATTACTATCTACCCAACATGATCATTTCTGAACAGGGCCAGAAAGCCCTTGCCGGTGGTCAGAAAACTGGCTGGGAAGGGGAACATATTTCTCTATAACTTGTAAGAAATTTAAAGACCATTACAAAGTCAAAGCTGGAGGTCTTGGAACTGCATTTCAACTTCCTATGTTGCTAAATAGGAAATTGATGTGACATCAACATGTTTATTTCTTAACATTTGTAGTAAATTAAAGAACTTTCAAGCAATGCCAGCACTAAAAAGAAGGTACGTAAAGCCAGATATTTCAAAATGAAAATTCCTGGAATCTGAATTATAGTGGGATAGCTACACACACAAACCATGGGATTGTGTCAGCCTTGCACAGAGACTTAACCTGGTATTTCTGGATTTATGGGGCAAGCTTGGCTTTCTTTCAACCTTACTATTTCTTTGCTCTTTCATTTTTTCTTAAGTAAACATTTACTGACCTATAACATATATGGCAAAGTGTACAAACCATAAGCACACAGTCTTATGGCTGGCTGTGAGAGCATTAAGGCCCACTTCGCGAAGCAATGCGTGGTTATGTGTTGTTGATGAAAAGAAATAGTGCTGTTAATCTATGCCATTGGAAGTCAGGATAGCGGTTACCCTGGGAGGTGGGTAGGGTAGGGTACCAGGGCCCTTCTGGGGCAATGGATACTGGAAATGTTCTTGACCTCGGTGGGAGCTACACAGGCGTGTGCTAATCAGCCTAGCTGGCTTAATGTATTTAACAGAATGTTGTTTTTATCTATATTTTAAAGCATTCTTAATTCTGCTAGACTATCAACATACTGCATCCTTCAAAAAAAAGTAGGGGGTGGGCAGAGAGAATGAAAAAGGGAGGGAGAAGGAAAAAGGAAGGGGAAGAGGAGGAAAAAGCTCTTTTGAGGCAGAACTAGAATAGTTTCTTTTCTTTTCTTTTTTTTTTTTTGGAGACAGAATCTCACTCTTTTGCCCGGGCTAGAGTGCTGTGGCGTCAGCCTAGCTCACAGCAACCTCAAACTCCTAGACTCAAGGGATCCTCCTGCCTCAGACTCCTGAGTAGCGGGGACTACAGGCATGTGCCACCATGCCTGGCTAATTTTTAAATTTTTCTCTATATATTTTTAGTTGGCCAATTAATTTCTTTCTATTTTTAGTAGAGATGGGGTCTCACTCTTGCCCAGGCTGGTTTCAAACTCCTGACCTTGAGCGATCCTCCTGCTTCAGCTTCCCAGGGTGCTTGGATTACAGACATGAGCCACCGAGCCCGGCCTAGAATAGTTTCTAAATGCAACTACGAAGTTCATATTGTTCCTCCAGAACCAGGGCCTGGCTAGTTCGCTTCAGGTCCAGGTGATAGGGCCCAAAGAAAGTAAAAGCTTCACTGTATTGTGTTACTCAGCAGTGTCTCTAAAGACCTAACATCCCAAATCCCTGGTCCACAGAGATTCCCCATCTCGAAAATATGGTGCAGCTACACAGGCCAGGAGGGCCCCTCTGTAAGATGTGGACAGGTGCCAGGAATTGCATTTCCCCATTCCTGCTCTTGAATTGAGACAACCCATTATCTACTAATATTTCATTTTGGACCAGCCCATTTTTCAGACTTCAAGCTGTTATTCTGTATTTGAAAGCTCCGGCTTCCCCCACGGGAACACGGAGCTTGCGTGTTGGTAGGCTTCCTCACACAGCATTTCCTTTCTAAGCGGGAACTCGATTTGCTGCTACACACACCCACCCCTTCCGTCAAAAGCTGCGCTCCTGAATCCAGGAAAAGCCAGCACACACCATTTCTCACTTCATAAATCCCCTCACGATTGTATTCTGAAAATTCATTTCTGACCAAGAGAGCAATTCTTTTTTTTATCTCCTTTTCTAAAATACTTGCAAAGATCAACCTGGAACAGTTAACATTGGTCATTTCCCTGTGTGAAAAAAAAAAAAAAAGCTACAATACAACCTAGCTCTCAAGGAAACCCCAGCCCTCAGACTAGACCACCACTTAAAAGTGCAAAGAAATTATTTTGTTATGGAGATTATAGCAACAAGATTATTTTTTTTTTTTACTTGAAGGAAAGTAAACATAACAGCGTCCCCACCAGCAAGACTACTTCATTGAATCCAGGTCCCCCCTGTGCAAAAAGATTCCCAAGGGGCTCCTGAGCAGCATGGAATGGGGTGGAGCCTGAAAATCCGCATTCCTACCAGGCTGCCAGGGGGCACACTTTGAGAGCCACTGATTAATCTCTACGACCTAGTGCCAACGTAATGGGGGACAACTTGGCTTACGGTCCTGAACGAAGTAGGGATCGGCTTCCGGCGCATACTGTTCACTGAAGTCCACCAGGGCATCGCGTCCATACGGCCGCCGGCGTCCCGTCACCGGGATGTTGCACAGCTGGGCGTAGTCATCTAGGAAGGAAGGGACAAGCAGCATGAGGCCCGGGGCTGGTGGCCCACACCTAGCACAGCGCAGGGGCAAGGGAACCCGCCAGGGCGCCTCCATGTCCCCCCACCCCTGAGCCCGGATCGTGTCTGAGCATTTGTTTACGGGGATTCTACACGTCCACATGTGATGACTGCTATGGGGCATAATTAAGGTTCTAAAGTGATGACCAAAAATAGCAGGTGAACAGTTGGTAGAACATATCCCAGAGCCATCTGAGAGTGCTTCGGGCCTTTTGGAAGAATGGCTTTATCCAAACCCATCAGGTTTATCATCAAAAACATTTTTAAGATATGATGTAGTCATTCTTATAGACAGGTGCTTTGTAGCTCACTAGCGACAGGAAAAATGTATGTCTGGTGTCCAAAAAGGAGACAACACCAAGTGAGGATGCTGTTATTATAGCCACTGTTATAACTCTAGTGTATAACTCTATAGTCCTTACAGATAGCACTTGGCAATGATGATCGTAGTATCAACGATATCATTATTATATCAGATATAATAATAATAAGCATAGTAGTGGTGGTAATAACAGCTACCGGCCACATAATTCGGGCTCTCTGACAGCTATTGTTCTAAGCAATTAATATACATTAATTCACTAAAACACTCACAGCACCTTATGAAGAGGTTCTATTATCTGTATTTTGCAGATGAGAAAATAAGTGCAGAGAGGTTAGATGACAGCTGTTATGTGGCAGCACCACATTTGGAGTCAAAAAAGAAGCTTCAGCGTGCACACTTTGAACACTCTGTCTCTCCTGCAACTATCTCAGCTCCTTTGCAATTCGTGTCCTGACCTCTCCCCACCCCAGCTAGACTCATCTGCAGTTACCCCTTCCTGAGGCCCCATTCCCATTCCAAGCTGGGCCAGTCGCAAGGCTGCCTAAGTCCTCACCTCCCTGGCCATCCCCCTCACAGGAGGAGGGGGCTCAGTTGTCCACCTGTCCTGGGGTTACTGAGCTTTCAATGCATTTCACGGTCCCGGGCTGTTGTTCACATTTAAGAACAGAGTTAAATCTGGAAGGCCTAGAGAGGAAAGCTGCAGAACGAATAGCTTCAGGTTCTAAATGTGTGTATTGCAGAAAATAGACTAAGGAGACGTCTAGCAGTTGGTGAAAATTATGGGGCTCCCCAGACGTCAAGAGCTCCCCCAGTGCTGGGAGAGGAAGGTGGACCCATGGGCCCTGGGATGGGGTGGACATGCTGGGGACAGTCTCAAAATGCAACAGCCACATATACCTGGAGTTTCCCCCTATTTTATCTCCTCTTAAAACACACAAAACTAAAGAAAAACACTAAAGCAATAGTGTGAATTCTGAAGCCTTTCTTTCATCTCCCTCTACTTAAATTACTTGAGTATTATTTTAAGTAGGCTGAGGAATCAGAGGTGTGTGCGGACGCATGTGCACATACGTTCTCCCTGAGATTTGCACAAAGCAAGTGCAAGGCCAGAAAAGACCTTAACCGCTGGATGGGTAGGATCCTGGTGGCCCCTTCCTAAAATTCTCCTTACGTGGAAGCATTCCAGGAACAACATTCAGACGTCCCCAGCACATTTTTTTTACATGAAACCATTCTGGAAGAAATATTAATTTCATTAAGGAAATAGCTAAACTTGGAAAAAGATTTTTGACTCAAAAAAAAAAAATACATCTTCAAACAGAGAGTGTACAAATGGCTGTCAGTTCTGCTTAAAAGTCTGAAAAAGCAGAGTTGAGGATTTCCCTGCAAGAGGGAGATCACTGAAGTGTTTATAAGTTTCAAGAGCTGAGGTCATCTTGTCTTGTAACTTTTTATATACATTTGTTGACTTCTCAAAGAGAGAGCTGTTCTATATTTTATATCTAAGCCACAGTTGTGATCTAGAGTGGATATTTAAAACGAATTAAATTCATGTACTTATTTTGTAAAACAAAATCCAGAGGTGGCTAAGCATCCTCCTCTTGGACATCTGTGGGCTGTCGGGGAAGTCTTGCTGAGACTTGGGGTCCCAGGATGTTGAATGGCACAGTCAGGACCTGGTGCTGACTGTTCAATCCGGTGCTCTCCCCTCAAGACGTGCCTCCTGCTCCAGAGAAATGAGACGGGCTCAGTGCTCCAAGCTCTCACCACCCAGCAATGCCAAAGGCAGGCACCGAAGGTGAGAGTGAAGAGGAGGGATGGGCTCCTGTTTCCGTGCAATGGTTGGGCTCAGGTGAAACTCAGTAGATGAGTAGGAATTATGTTACAAGAAAAGATATTTTGGATTAATTTTAAAAAGAGCTTACGCAAATGCAACAAGAAGGAAACCAAAAGTTGTGTTTGGTGACCACCAAGTGGGCCTCTCTTGACCCAGGCTGATGAACTGATGAATGAGGGATGTATAGAGTAAATGGGAGGTACCTTTGGGACTTGCCACATCTTCCTCCCCCTCCCTTCTTCCTCCGCCATGCATTTTTTTCCTCTTAAGATTCTAGAACTTACTGTCCCTTTGCTGCTTCCCTTTGTCTAATGCATTAACATTCCAAGCTCCAAGATGGTTTTAGTCAGTTATCAAAACATCATTTCTGCATTACATTGCTCTCTTTTGTATGTGAAGATGTGCTACAGTCCCATCTTTGCCAGGACATGTATTTTGAGTTATTTTTCTGGGAGCATGAATGGATGGGTCTGTCCTCATCCATCCACACGGCCTCTCCCGTCATGCACACCTGCTCTGATTTGTGGCCAGGGTCAGGGTGACGTGTGCGTGGGGTAATGGGAAGAGCATAGGTTCTGGAGGCAGAAGCTGGAGCTCAAGTTCTGACTGCACAACTTCTCCCCTGCTTAGCAATTCTGGACAAGCCTCAGTTTCCATGACTGTCACTCAGGGCTACTAATTCTTGTTTGTCTGCCTCTGTGTTACTGACATGTTAAAAAAAATAAGATAACATTGTGGGACTGTTCATAAATTTTGAAGCACCAAGAAAACCAAGGATTAATTTTCATTTTAAACTGGGGGGGGGGAAGTTTTACCCCCTCAAGCCAGTGGGTGTGGGGCCGCGGCTGTCAACAGCCATGGGAAGCACATTACTATTATATCCTGGCATGAAATCTCCATTCTTGAGGACACACACATCTGCAGGGCTGGCCTGGATAGTCACATGTCACAATGCCACTCTGGCATGAGAGGAAACCAGGAGGTGAAGTTTTAGTTCTGACCGAGGCAGATGAAGTTCAGCAGCTGTTAGAGATGATGAAGAGGTTGCATTGCATTCTCCGCACAACAGGGCTAAAAATCCAGTGCTCTAAAGTTTGAACCATGTATTTTTCAAATATAAGAGAGGGCCAATTCTTATATATTAAGAAAAATGGGTCATATTTTACTCACATTTCCAGATCAGGTGTTTTTCTTACAGATTTAAACATGGATACACAACCAGGCAACAGAGGAAGGAGATAGGGAGAACGGGGTGACTGTTTTTACTCTAGTGTTTGCTGAGCCAGCATTATCACAGATACTTCCAAAAGCTGAAATTACCCAAATGTGGACCATTTCCAGACATTCCATCGAGCATCAGTAAAGGAAGGTGAAAGAGGGGCTTAGGTTGTGGCAGTGTTGTGGCATTCCCACAACACTGTCCATTCTGTTCTTTATCAGAGGATAAACTCTTAGCCACAGTCTCTGGTGAACAGGCAGCAACCCTGCCGCTCTGAAATCATGATGTGCAGAGCTGTGACAGAAAACTAGATACGTTAAACAGAGAAATGACCTGTAGTCCAAAGACTTGGGTTCTAGTCCCTGTTTTTCTACTTCCTAGTTCTCCAGTGTGGATGTGTTTTCTTGAGCTTTAGCCTTTTCATCTATCGAATGGGATTATGGTGCTCTTTGCTTTAGATGTATTAAAAGGGATTCATTCATCGTTCCATTCAGCGCTTGACTGGCTGATTCTTCCATTCCTACCATCAGAGGCTGAGAACGTTATGGACAGGGTGGGTTGGGGGAGAGAGGAAGGGTGTAACGCTAGTGCGATGGGGCATGTGCAGTAGCTCGTCGGGGCCACAGAAGTAATGGCTACAGTCAGCCTGCAAGAGCCAGGGAAGGGTCCCCCTTGGAGTGAGTGTCTGTAGCAAGGAGGTCCACCAGGTGAAGAAGAGGAGGGAAGGTAACTCGGAGAGAGTCACAGGCATGTATTAATATAATAGATACGAAAGCATTAGGGGAAGTAAAGTACCATGCAACCCTGGCTACTCTAGATCCCTGCTAGAGAACAGTTCAAAAAAGGAAAGCTGGCTAACATGCACTATTAAGCTCCCATGTGCTAGATACTACATATTAATTAATACTTTTGCATACACCATTTCATTTAAGTCGCAGAACCCTATGAAATAATTGTAATTAGCTCCTTTTGTTTCTGATAAGAAAACTATGGTTTTATAGCAAAGCTTGCCTTGCCCACGGTCAGGTGAAGGATTTCAACCTAAAGTGGTCTATCTGCCAAACCATGTTCTTTCTACTTGACAGCTGCCCTTAAGAAACCCCGAGGGAAAAATATTATTAAATACACTGCCTAGACCTGCAGCATCAGGTAAGTACTTAGTTTGGCAATAAGCATTTGTGACTAAAATCCCAGGGAGAGTAATAACTGCAAATGCTGATGAGCTCAGCTCTACCACGGTCAGCTCTATCATTAGCAGGATTTATGTTTATTGAATTTGCTCGATTTATTAGGTGAAAGAGATCAAATTGCTTAATGTTCAATTAAATTGTACTTGCCGAGGACAAGGAAGTAATGAAGTCTAAAGTCTTGGCAGGGATTATATTCTGTGGGACTCCTGTAAATGTTAATGCTCTAAGGAAACTTGTGGGCCATAGACAAGTCAAGTTCTCCCCACCCCCAGCCTTCACCTAATGTTACCCTTTGTAGTGCAGACACTCCCAGCCTTTCCCATCAGATTGCTGTTTATTTAGCCAGACTAACTGAAGGGAGAGATTTGTTGC